GGAATCCCTCCTGCCCCTAGACTGACAAACAACCTCTGTTCTACCTACCATATTACCAATGGGGAAGTATGTGAGAGGAGAGATGAATCTGTCTCTATGCTCTGAAGGTCAGACTGTCAGCTTAGGTGCAAGAATGAATTCCAGATACTTTCTGCGAGACTATCCTGCCACTAATATTTAAATCTAGGGATGTTTGGCACAGATTCTCCAATTGACCTCAAGAATCATGGCAAGTCAAGCTCTCTGACACCCAGGTTGCACTAAGAAAAAACTTGCAAGGCAATATATTTAATGGAGCACTAGTGAAATGGCACTAAGTATGCAGACAGCCACATTGGGCATTGACTGATGGTGTAAAGGATAATTCTGGCTACTGCACATTGAAGAACAACAATACAGCCTGGGCAGGAGGTGGAGGGGTGGGTGTGTGAGAAATTGTTCTTTCACATCTGTATCATCACATGCCAAGATTAGGTTAATCAGTCTCAAAATCCCTATCCAATGGAACTACTGTGGTTTGAATATTCAAGGATGAAAGAGAGAATTCCCCCTCAAACTGACCCACCCACACCATCACCAGTGTCAAAAATGCAGAATGAGAACCTGTTCTTGTGTGCCCAGGGCTTCCATATGACTCATACAATCCATAGTACATCCTTACTCTAGGTAGCAGTGGGGAGCCATTTTGTGAAACAAACAAACAAACAAACAAACAAACAAACTTAACAACCCTTGTGGGTGTAAAGAGAAATAAATGGGGAAACAGGCATTGTACATTAGCAGAGTTTGATTTTTATCTAATTTATTGGAGAATACTTTATCCCTGTGGAAATAGTGCTGTAATACTGCCAACAATCAGTGATGAGCCATTGGGATTGGTAGAAAGAGGGCAGGGCAGACACATCTGAAGCTAAATGACAATTTAAAACTGTGGCTTCAAATCCTGTATCATGAACATGGTTTATAATTAATTACTGATCATGTGACATACATAAAAAGGTAGATATCTGCCTCTGTGTAAAAATAACACGCCATGTTCTCCAAACAAAAGGCTTGACTTTAGGGAGGTACTGAGTCTTTTCTGCATTAGTGGCTGCACATCACTTCCTTTATAACAGCACAGTCAGAAGGTTCTTGGTACTGCACAATGGGACCCTGGCGGTTTTAATAAGGCAAAGCTCTCGCTACAATTAATGGTCATTTTGCCTGTGTAAGGCCATCAGAGTCAGTCAAAGATACTTTTTCCATACTGGTGAGTCCTCATCAAAAAGTTTGTGAAAGAGCTTCCTGAGTGATGCCAGTGGGGAGGGTGAAGGAGTAAGCGTCTCTTATCTGGAAGATTTGGTCCTCGGTCAAACTGGCTAAATTCCCAGGAAGCCTCAGGGGGATAAGAGAGGACTATTAAATAGACTTTCTCACAGATTGGCCTGTGATTGGCTGATATGGCTGAAGACAAATTTCCAAGAAAATTTCAAATGAAATGAAAAATGTCCATCTTGTTCAGATTTTTTTTCCAGATAAATGAAAACCAAAAAGAGTTTTAGATTTTTGGGGGTGGGGGCATTTATTTGCTTTCTCCCCTTGTTTCTCTTTTTAGTCCCTACTACAAATGAGAGAAATTTTCATCAAAAAGTGGAATGTTTTCACCAATATAAAAAATTCTCATCAACAAATTAAGCTTGGTAGAAAGCAACAATATTCTTCTGTCAACAAAATATTTTGATGAAAATCATTTAAGAAGCTCTGTTCATCAGTATTTGCTTAAAAATGGAAAAGTCTTGTGTGAAATACTTGTTCTTGTGATCATATTTGGTTGATAACATCTGTGAGTAGGAACCATCCATTTCTAGCTGAGTTCACTCTGAAAACTAGAGAGGTTCACTGAGCTGATAAAATCAATTCATTTTGCATAGGGTATGTCTTATGAAAGGTTAGTCATCAGGATGATGTTAATATCCTCTAAAATTGAGTTTCCATGGCCCTGTAGCTTGTGTAGTCATTCTGGCTATGTCTACACTGCACAGTTATTTCGGAACTAGCCAATTATCCTGTCATAAAATGGGATTTTCAGGTCTCTCCTCCATGTTCTATTCTCTTTCTATCTCGGTCTTCTCTCCTGAGCCTCCGGTCTCTCGCTTCATCTTTCTCTCTCTCCCCTCCTCCTACTGCCTCCTCCACTCTCTCTCTCAGCTCTCCTCCACCTCCTGGAATGAGGTGTAACAGTTAACTCGAACCAAGGACTTAGTTCGAGTTAACATTTGACTGCCACGTGTAACAGTCACGTGTGGCAGTTAGTTCGGACTAAGGGGATTTAAAAATGGCGCCCGGACGGGAAGATGCAAATAAAGCCCAGGATATTTAAATCCTGGGCTTCATTTGCAACTTTGAATGCCTACATTAGCCTCCCTAATTTGAACTAGGGGGCTAGTGTAGACATACCCTGTGTCAGTAACATTTTTCTCCCTTTCTGGTTGTATAAATGATTACACAAGGTGCAGGGCAATGGAGCCTTGGACCTCTGTTTTCTAAATAAGTACACAGTCCAAAACAGTGGAATGAAGAATAAAAATTTGAAATCTGATTTGTGAATGTACTCAGAAAGGAAACCACCAAGTTTAGTCCTAAGTGTTAGGTCTTCATAAGTGTTTGAGTATTTTGAATATTTTGTTGTAATGGTCATGAGGTTATTATAAAGAGAAGGGTGAAAAATTATTCTTCTTAACCTGTGAGGATAGGACAAAAAGCAAGGGAGATTAAGATTGCACATTAGTAAAAACCTCCTAACTATCAGGTTGGTTAATCACTGAAATAAATTGCCTACTGAGGTTATGGAATCTCCATCATTGGAGATTTTTAAGAGCAGGTTAGACCATACATGTTAGGTATAGTCTAGCTGTCACTTGGCCCTGCCATGAGTGCAGGGAACTGGCTAGATGACCTCTTGAGGTTCCTTTTTGTTCTGTGATTCTATGATTCTGTGAATTGTGAAAATGTCACAAATATTTTTGTAATTGGAAATGTTATTTATTTGATACAGGAAATTTGTTATTGTTTCAATCATCCAAGCAGGGAGCACAAAATGTTCCATGTGATGTGTGTGATAAACCAAACAAAGCAAAGAACTAACAAAGATTATGTTACACTGCAGTTTATATCAGTATAACTTGTGTCACTCAAGAGAGGGAATAAACTCCCTGCCTCAAGTGACACAATAGTTACTCCAACGTAAGCCACAGTGAGGACCATGCCATGTTGGCTAGATAACTTCTTGCACTGCAGCTGATGGGTGCTGGAGTAATTAAGCTAACAAGAGAGCTCTCTCCCATGGGTTTAGAGCAGTTCTCTAGTGTAGCTCTGCCCTGACAATACTAGCCAATAATTCAGACACAGCCCCAGACACAGAATAATACATCTGCACTGTATGGTGAAGGATTCTGAACAAAAAATACACTGAAAAAATCAAGATTACCCGGTGAAAGCTTTTGTAACCAGAAATGAAAATATGCTCATCCTAAATGTTTTTCATAACAAACCAGCTCAAGTACTAAACAAACAAACAACAACAACAATAAAACCCCAATCTAAGCATTTATACAGATGAGTGGGAATTTTTGTCAAAGTAGTGTATTTAATTCAGTTTCCCATTTTGGTTTATTTTTATAGATTTTTTTCCTGGATACCAAAAGTTCTGTGAAACAGACCCAAGGGCCCTGGATGGAGAGTAGAAGAGGGGTAAGCACTCTGGGAAACATGTGTCTCATAAACATACTCTAACCTTGGAATACTTCAGCACTGTATTTCTGATCAATGGAATCAGAGTTTGCACTAATATGTAATTTTTTTCCTCTGAAGACACAGAACTATGGAACTATCCATCTATCTAAAGTAGTATTACATAAGGAAGAGATGCCAAGCTGAGTGCAAGTTTGGCATTCTTACTACTTTTACACAAAGGTTGCTTAGAACCATTGCTTGGTACCATTTCATGGCTTGTGTCTCCAGCAGTGCTGAAAGTAGTGCAAACAGAGAGCTGGAGGTGAAGGGGTAGATTTGACTGGAAGGCTGCATTGCAAGATCTCCATCTGCATCTTACCTGTGTGATTGGGAACATTCATGCCCCTAGGCAGGAGGATCTGAAAGTACCAGGGCTTTCCCGGAAGGATTAGAAGGAAAAACAAAACAACTATAATAGTTCAGCACAGAAAGATGACAAAAATATATTTTTGAAATGTGGTCATTTCTGCTTAGAAATAAATGCAGGAAGGCTATTTTTCTGTCTCTTTGTCCCTGATTGAAGTTGTGAGACAGAGAGCAGGAAAGTGTGGAGGAAGTCAGGAGAGAGAAGAATCTCTCTCAAATCATTCAAATGAAGAAAGAGGGCCATACTGAAGAGGGGAGAAATAGGTTTTCTGAAACTAGCTCTCCACAACCAACTACCAGGATTCAAAACATGCCACGGGAGCAAAGTCATGAAACCCAGAAATGAGGCAGTCTTCCCTTTAAGGCAGCGTTTCCCAACCTTTTCCAGATGGGGACCCATTTTGAGAATTCAGGAAGACTTGGTGACCCAGGGCAATTCAAAAAAAATGTGTGAATGGCTCCTTAAAAGCCACCTGGGGAGACACCTGGGGACCCTTTTGAAATGTAATGGCAACCCATATTTGGGTCCTGACCTATAGGTTGGGAAACCCTGCTTTACGGGCTAGTAAATGCTGTAGCCACATCCCCACCACCAACTGACACCCTTGTTAGTGTCCTATGGACACACAGTATACCTTCAATAAAGCAGTGCCCAGAGGGTGCATCAGAAGGCTGTTGTGTGGTCTGATTTTTACTGTGAGCAGTGGGGCCATGAGTAACATGACACCACCCACGATGCCCAAGGTTGGGTAGAGCTGCTGTTATTGTAGTAGGGCAGTGATGATGTTGATGACAATTTGCCTGCAGAGTTCAGGCTGGGAACGAGAAGTGGATTCATCTGTCACATTATTTGTTCCATCAGCCATATGATGCCTTAAGCAAGAAGGCAAAGGGAAGGCATTCTGTGTTTGCTCATTCAGCTGAGTGTGTGTGGGGGAGGGGTTTCAGGACTTTTGTCTTTTGTGGTTGCTCATCAGGAAGGATTTTTCATATCATAATTATTAATTTAAAAAACAGTGGCATTTTTATATTTGTTTAACCTCAACCAAGCCTTCTTCTTCATGGCTGATTTAAAATACGTAAAATAGAGTAGACTACATTCCGTAGTGTAGAGCTTAATCTGATAAACAAAACAACAAAAGTAAAACCTGCCAAACAAAAATATTTATTTCTTCCATAAAGGCCCCTTGAAACAAACATGGATATTTTGCTTAGCTGGTCTTGTGGGCATGATAACGTCACTGTATTCAGTTATTGACAAAAATACTTCTGGACCCAAGAAGGGAAATAGGAGGAGAGGAAAGGGCTGTGTCAACAGAACCATTGATGCAGCAAGATGTAAACACTGTGTTGTATCTAGTTATATCATGTGTGAATCCATCAGTAACTTAAAGACACAGCAAGCTCATTGCAGCCTCCTTTTGCTGCCTTCCCATCTACCGCTGCTGATCCACTGGCGATGATGTTCAGATTTGCCATTTCATGCCTTCAGAAAACATTTTATGAGAACTCTACATTATTTTCTTTGCTGGAAAAGAGCAGGAACTTCTTCAAACTTTGGTGAAGAGCCAACATCAAATCATTATAGTGGTTACACTGAGCTATGATCAAAATTGTTATTTTACAATAAAATGTAACATTTTGATAGGTGGCAATCTTGTTTAATGCCTTTTATCCCAAGTAACTTTACAGAGCAATGAGTTAAATCCTGATTGTGGGGGTAACTTGGCAGGCAAATGTGCTTAGCAAAATCTGTGTACACAACTTTCTCTTGTTATTATTATTTATATGACAGTAGTGCCCAGAGGTCCCAATGTGCTAGGTGCTATACAAAGCTATTGCAAAAGACAATTTCTCCCCCAAAGTGCTTACAGGCTCAACAGACAAAGAATGGAAGCTGAAACAGTGGCACAGAGAGGGAAAGCGACTTATAAGTTACATAGACCTTCCTCTTCTTTTCACAAGATCAGGCAAAGACAGAGTAAGGGATAGAACCTAGACTATCTGGCTCCCAAGTCCTTTAGCCCATATTGCTGCTCCATTAGTAGCATTCTTCTTCATAGAAAATGTTGGCTACTATACAGGAAATATTTCCAATTTCCTGTGACCATCTTCTAAAGAAAGGAGCTTGTTTTACCATCTCATCTGAATGACTATGCTGCTATCTGTGCAGCACTGTTTTGTATTACAATATATTTAATGTGAACTCAAGTACTTGGTGTGGGACTTGAACCCACAACTTTCTTACTTAGGGTATGTCTACACTACAGGGCTATTTTGAATTATCTTAATTAGAAATAGTTAATTTGAATTAAGCTAATTCAAACTAATGCATCTACACACAAAATCTATTTCGAAATAGCGTTTTGCTATTTTGAAATAGTGCATCCACACTGAGTGGACCCTAAACCGAAGTTAAGGCTGGCCAGAACCACTGCTGGCAGGGTATCAGATTAGGATTTAGCATGTGGGGCTGCTGCCTGAGGCTAACTGAGCTCCGTGCTTAAAGGGACCCTACCCTCACCCCAGACAGACAGTTCTCAGGGTTCCCCACTTGCTTGTTTACCTTGATGAGGGACAGCAAAGCAGTCCTGTCTTGGAGTGGACCCAGCGCTGCCCCTGGGCACGCTAGTGCATCTCGTGGGGTTGTTTCCATCAGCCAGGCTGCACTTGCTGCAGGCTGCCATCTGGGGGGTGGGGGGGGTCCATTGGGAGTCTGTCAGGATCCAGGAGGCCCTGTGGGAGAGTGTCCACCCCGAGGAGCCCTCAGAGCCACCCCAGGCCTCCCCACTGGGGCTCATGCCCCATTCCTCCTTCACGTCCTTCCACTTACGCCTCCCTAGTCCCCCTTCCTGATCATCAAACAAAAGACATGTATGTTCAAAAATAGAAACTGGGTTTATTGAACAAAACTGGGGGGGGGGGGGGAAA